CAGAGGCACAAGGCAGCCGTGCTGCGTGGCTGCTGTGAGCAGGGCTCTGTGTCCTCTCCCGGCCGAGCACACAGCATCTGGCTGGCCCTGGGCAGTCCCCGGGCAGCCTGGGGAGTGCTGCACATCTCCCGTTCACAGCCAAGACCTGGCTCCCCGGCCACAGCCCCCGGCAAACCMGGGCCAGCTGCTCATTGCACGGCACACCGACTGCGTGTGCCAAAGAGACCGAGGCAGGAGGTGACACCAGCCCAGGGGGTGACACCAGTGACGGGCAGCGGGGCTGGGATGACACCAGCTTGGAGGGTGGCACCAGCCCGGGGAGTGGCACCAGCCCAGGGAGTGGCACAAGCCCAGAGAGTGGCAGGGGGATGCTCAAGCTGGTGACCCAGCTCAGGTGCCAGCGCTGCTGGACACGTTGCTGGTGACAGCAAGAGCTGCTTCCCCAGRCTTGGACTGCGTGCAGAAGGTGGAYCCAGCTCCCTTTTCCTCTGCTGGGGTGTGGGAGCCACGGTGGACTATCAGGGGGAAGGGGAGGCTTCCTCTCTGTCCTGATCCCACCCAGAATCTGGTGCACAAACATGCTATTAACCATCAGAGATAAGGCTCTGATGAATTTATCTCTGCTCTGGAGAGACAGTGAGGGATACAGAGGGAAAAGCATTTGCTTAAGAGAGCGAGGATGTTCTGCAAAGCTCAGCACTCCCGCAGCCCTGATCTCAGACTGCTCATGCCCTGGGGCAGCAGGAGCTGCGCTGCTTCCTCAGCATCATGGCAGGAAGGCAAACGGCTCTTCAAACCCATCCCGTGCAGGTGAGAGCAGCCTTCTCTCTCCGTGCCCCTYGCTGCCTCCCAGCAGAGCCATCCCCCTGTAATCCCCTCTGCTCCTTCCCTTCCTGAGTCACTGTTTACTTTGGCTCCCAGGGCTCCCGCTGCTGCGCTGGAGCAGCCTGCTCTGAGAGCTGCATTTTCCAAGCCCTCCAAGGCTGTTTTGACACCCCTGATGAACAGTCCAGTGTCAGCCAAGGGTCTCCCACCGCCCAGGCAGCACCTTGCTCGCCAAAGAACACACGGCCCGGGGCAGGCAGCGGGCCATGCAAACACCCCCCTACACAGGCACACACTTCTGGAGCTGCTTTATTGTTTAATAACTGCCTTGGGTTTCRCCATCCCAGCTCTTCTCCGTGTGGATCCCTGCCTAAAGCTGGTTTTCATGGTTTTGATGGAAATCAGTYGGGTTCTGCCTTGGCAATGTGCTCAAGTGCAGCAGTTGCTTGGAAAGGAGTCAAGGGTTTCATTCTTGCTGGTCTCTCAAGTCCCTGTTCGTGCTTATTTCCCTGTCCCATCCACCTGACAGCATCCAGGTGATGGCATCCCACACCTTTGGGCCTGAAGCAGTCACAGAGCAGGGCTTGTCTYRTGAACMGAGCTGYTCAGGCTCTCTTGGAGGAGCAGGGRTTTCTCACTCTGAGGCCTGGCTGCTTTAGGACTCTGGGTTTCTGGAGGGCTGTGAGGCTGGGGGGACTCTCTTTGTGTCACTGAGTGCCATCCTCAGTCCCCTGCCACCGTCCCTGGTGGAAGCAGTGTCCTGCAGCCTTGCAGTGGAGAGCAGTGCTTGGTTTGGAGGAGGAGCAGGGCCTTAATCTCTGCCAGTCGAGTGGTGCTTGCAAAGACGATTAGACATATGCCAGCTAATTCATAGTAAACAGGATGGAGGGAGAATTTGCCACTTATAAATGGCAGATGAGCAAGCCCATCATTGCTGTCACTCCCGGGTAATACATGCTGACATAAGCCCAGTTTAGCTGCAAGTTTATCATTGCTAATCCTGCCGCTCCATGCCTCTCTTTTCCACCCTCCTGGCATCTTTGTGGCCCTGTTTCTGTTTTGTCTCCTTCTCCCTCGCTCCTGGTATTCCATCTTGGGGGCAGGAAAACTCCTCAGCATCCCCCACCCTTTCCCCAATGCATTATTCTGCAAAGGAATGCTTTCCTTTCTCCTGAAAATATTCCTGTGCAGATTGAAGCCACGGGGAGATATTGAGCTTGGATAGACAACTTCCCAAGCCCGCTGCACCTCTCATCATCTCTGTTTGCCTCTCTTGGTGCCACATTTCCCCGTAGTTTTGCCCAGGTCCCATCCAGGTGTGCCTGATCTCTGGTTACATCGATGTTCCTGCATCCCCCAGACAAGTGGGGCCCTCCCGTGGGTTCTGGTCAGCCCTGGGTCACACCCAGCCGGGAGTTTATCCGATACTTTTCCCCAAACAGACACTCCCGTGGGCTCAGTTCGAGCAGCACCGCAAGGAGATTTATCTTGGAAACGCCCCGTTGTTTGGAGAGCCGCGGGGCCAACTCAAACACCATCCTCTGCTGCTGGAGCCTTCCTGGAGATGGAGGGGGAGATAAATTATGTGGGAGAGCAGTGGCCACAAAGCCTGACCTGGCTGTGGGAATGCAACACTGGATGGCACCAGCCAGGCTGGCAMCCTGTGCTCAGTTCTTATCTCTGCCCCACTGAAGGACTCGGGGCTCACTCCAGWGCGTGGCAAACCCAGCTGGGATGCAAATCCTGCCTCCTCGGTGGCTGTGTGGGTGCTGCAGGTCAGCAGCGGGAGCCAGACCAGTGACATTTTTCCTGGAAGTCCTTCTGGCTTTCCTTCCCAATGCTGATACAAGTGTCCAGSCTGTCCTCGCTCGACCGAGCCACCCACGCAGAATTGGTGGCTTTTTTTGTGCTACTGTCGGAGATGTGTCAGGAACGCTCCTTTRTTCAGTCAAACTCCCTCCCCCTCCGTGAGCCTGCCTGGCCTYCATCCCTTGGATTGGATCAGCTGGAGAAAGGAGGTCAGAGATGGGAATCCCGTGAACCCAACCCCTGTCCTGGGGCAGGGTGACGGCAGGTGCCTTCAGGTGGTTTGGGGCAAGCCAAGGGGTCCGGGATCCCTCGAGCCGAGGGAGGGCAGAGCATCCTTCCCTGGGAAAAGCCTTCCCCGGGAGGGCTGAGGGTGCGAAGCCGTGGATGGAGCACCTCTGGGATGGATTTCTCCAGCCCAGGAGTTCCCCCTTGTGGCAGGAGGCTCGGGCTGGTGCGGGGCTCTGCCGGAGAAGGCTCTGGACACGCTGGGATGCTCCAGGAGAGGATGTCTGTGGGTGCGCGGTCATCACCCGCCAGAATGCCGAGAGCCGGCGCTGGGTTTGGCCGYTCCCGTGGGGGAACCTGGACGGGCTCGGCAGCGCTCCGAGCTCGGCAGCTCCCCCAGTTTTCCCCCTCAGCTCGCAGGGAATGTCCCTGCAGCTCCGGACAGCCAGCACCGGGTACCTCTGACCCCATCCGTGCGGGCAGGCTCCCCATCGGTCGYTCCGTGTCGGTGCGGGGTTGTGAGTGATGGAGCGATCCATAAACTGAGCGCTCCCCAAGTTATTCGGGAACCCCGAATTCACAGCTGCGGTGGGGGCTGCAGCAGGGCTGTGTGACACAGCCAGGACCCCAAACCTGTCCCCCCAGTATCCACCCCCGAGCTGGGGCACAGCCCAGGCTTCCCTCTYGCTCCGGGAATGGGAGCAGAACGCTTTGCAGCTGCCTGCTGACGTYTGTGGCTGCTGCAGCATCAGCCAGCCTTGACGAGGAGGCCTCCAGCAGCTCCCCTTCCCCAGATCGGGGTCTGCACAGCGTCTGCGAGCCCCGTGCCCGCTCGGGGAGCCGAGGGGAGCCGGCTCCCGTGTGAATCAGCGCCTCTCGGGATGCTGAGCCGGGCTCCGCTCGGCGCGGAGGCGACAGCGCCCGAGCGGCATCGATGTTTATTAATGACGGWATTGGGGACGCTGTTTAGTCACCGCTCCCACGGAGCCCGAGAGGCAGCCGCAGGGGGGTAAAGCTGCTCCTCAGTGCCCGGGGGACATCTGAGGCACCCAGGCACCCGCAGCGTTTAGCGCGCTGATAGCCGGCTCCCACGGGAGGCCTCGGCGGTGTCMCCGCCGCTGCTGCCACCCCGCATGTGTCCCCTCCCTGAGGAGCCGCAGCGGGAGCTGCGGAGCTGGGGAAACTGAGGCACGGCGGGCAGCGAGGGGTGACAGCAGGACACGGCCCGGCCCTGCTGATCTCCTGGCGGGCAGCGGGGCAGCGGGCTCCTGCCTGCATCTGGCACATCCAGGGGGATTTATTTATTCGTGTGAGAGGGCTGCAGATTTAACTGGCGAGAACGTGAGCGAAGCCATTAGAGGATGAGGGGGGATGGTCCTTAAAATGCTCCGGGTGCACGTTGGGGACGTTTTGGCACAGCGAGGAGCCGGTTGGAGGGCTGGGTGCTGTTATTAAACTCTGTGACGGGCGTTTTCCCACTCCGCCATCTGCAGTGCCATGAAACTTGCATGAGATTTGAGATGAGGAGTCTATTTCTTTGAATGAAGTTTTAATAAGATCAAATTGGAAAAAGAAAATAGTGCCTCTTCCCCCTCCCCTGCTGCCCCCCTTCCCTGATTGCTGCTGGATTTAGTCTGGTGGAGGCAAAAATCCCCGTGGACTGGCGGGGGCTTGGGCTGGGAGCTGGGTGCAGTCAGGGGTCTCTGCAGGGGATGGGGTGAATTTGAGGGTTATAAAATCTGTGGGGTTGCAAGAGAGGGGGCTGGTGCTTGGGATGATGAGAGGTTCACAGCCCATAGCAGGGACACACTGAGCCGGAATTAATGACCTTTAAAGGTCCTTTCCAATCCAAACTGCTCAATGGAAGGGGGGCCCAGCCCCTCATGATTGGTTTGTCAGATCCCTCAGGATCTGGGGAGGGCTCAGGTGCAAGCCCCTTAATTAACCCTCTCTGAAATATAATTTGAGTGGGCTCGGGCTGAGTCTCTGCTGGGTGGAGGTGGACTGGGAGGAGGGGGGATGCTGCCGGGGGGGCTCAGAGGAGGGCTGGGGGACCCGGGATCAGGCCAGGGTGGGACATGACCGACGTGGGACGCTGCCAAAGGGAATGCTGCTGGTGTGGGATGCTGGTGGGGGGGAAAGATGCCGATTTGGGATGCTGCCGGTGTGGGAGATGCTGTCGGTGGGGATGCCTCAGATGGGAATGGTGATGATGGGAATGGTGATGATGGGAATGGTGATGATGGGAGATGCCATCCCTGGGGCGGGGCGGGGCCGCCAGGGGGAGCCTGCAGCCGCGGCGGGAGCTTCATCCCCCGATGAGCATCATCATCATCATCATCATCATCGTCATCGTCATCATCGTCATCGTCATCACCAGCACCATCCTCCCCTCTGCCGGGCTCCCGCGGGGTGCCCTTCCCGGAGCCTCGGCGCTCTCAGCACGGTGCGAGTCCCGCTCTGCCCCGCTCCCCGAGTGCATCCCCAGCAGGGCAGGCCCAGCCCCGGAGCCCCGGAGGGATGCAGCGGGGAGCTTCAGCCAAGTCGGATGGCGAGGGGAGCTGCGTGGGCCGGTTTGTTCTCTGAGAATCACGAAGGCCAGCGGGCATCTCCTCATTGCCCGGGGAATGGCTCCCAGCGCAGGGSTGTGCCCCGTGTGCTGCCAGCGCCGGGATGGGGCAAACGCCCCGGAGCTGGAGCCCAGACCCGCGGGAGCCTGGCCTCTGCTCCCGCCRGGATTAGCAATTCCCAGGATGGGAAGGTGGGGCAGGCTCCTGGAARAGGGTGGGCAATGCCTGCAGCAAGGGGAAACTGAGTCACAGCRAGCAGAGCAGGCTCAGCCGGAGGTGCCAGCCCAAGGAGCTGTGAGCCCTGAGCTGGGCTCAGGCCCGTGCCAGCCAGGCAGGACAAGAGGCTCTGGTGTTCTGCAGTAGCCCCCAGGCACAAAGACCCCACCTCCTGCAGATCCTCTTGGCCACACGTGCCAGGAGCTGGCATCTCCCTCTGACACCCAGGCTGTGACACGCCACTGCCCTGCTGCAGCCTCACCAGCGGTCAATAAACCACCCCTCTGGTCTCCCTGCCTCTGCCACCTTCTGTTCCCATGCCAGAGGAACTGGCACTGCCCAGCGGGGAGAGGAGCACGCAGGCAGCCCAGCATCMCCTCTTCCAGCAGCCGAGGGAGAGGTGAGAAGGTCCCTGGAGCTCARGGAGTGTCACCATGAGTGGCATTCCTGGAAAAGCAGGCACAGATTGAGTTCACTCGGCAGCGTGGGCTGGATGCCGCTGCTGGATCCTGAGTGCCTGCAGTGCCCGTGGAGGTGGTGCTGCAGCCAGCGCCGCCTATTTTGGGCAGGTGTCAGTGCCCTGCTCCTCATCCCCCCACTCCCCACGGCCTGGCTGCTCTGTGCCATCATCCCTGAGCRGTGGGTGGCTGGGATGGGTGCAGGAACAGGCTGAGGGTGCCAAGCAGTGGGATGAAAGGCTGGGAGGGACTGGGATGCACCCCAGGACAGAGCAGGGTGAGTGACAGGTCAGTGGCTGTGTCCCCTCATCCAGGCATGGCTGACCCTGCCTGTCCCTGCCCACTGAGGTGGCCCTGGAGGTTTCCCCTTCTCCATATGGCTGTGGATGTCTGGAGACGCGTTTGACACCCTTGGATGGGTAATAAATAGAACCAGGCCCGCTGCCTTTTGTTTTGATTGATTCCATTTGTTCTGCATAAGCAGCTCCTTCCCCTTGCCAAGGCTCAGCTCCCGGGGAAGGAAGAGGCTGAGAGATGGAGTCWGGCTGTGCTGGGAAGGTCCCCAGGGCTCAACTCTGACAGGGGGACACTGAGACACCTGACAGGGCCAGGTCTGCCTCGGCAGCAGGTTTTGGTTAACAGGGGAAACTGAGGCTGGGAAAGGTGCTGTGCTGTGCCCTGGGGACACACAGCGAGACAAGGACATCTCTCAGGTGTAGAAGCTCCTTCTCTGGCGCTGGGTGGGGATGAAGGCACCCAGACTGGCAAGCAAAGGGTGACCCAGTGACATTGGCCATCCTGTGGGTGACTGGCATTGCTCTGCCACCGGCATGGAGGGAAAATGGCTTTATAAATGAGCTTGGGATGAAAATGAGCACAGGAGCCGGGACTCCTGGCTCCCCTCACCGGCTTGGTGGGAAACAGCCGCCTCAGGCCAGTCTGGTGCCTTCCTGCCTCAGTTTCCCAAGCAGGAGAGGCTGTTTATCCATGGGGAGCTGGGAAACCGGCAGGTTTAGGCGCAGGGGGGATGAGAGGTTGGAAGCTCAAAGCGCCCTGGGCTCCCTGTGGGGCGGCACAGCAACGAGAGCCCGAGCAGTGGGCGATGATGGGGGGCTGGGGGGACCCCAGAGCCATCCTCCTGATGGTTCCCCATGTGCAGCCCCACTTCCCTCTCCCCTGCTTGCCTGGAGACCCCCATCCAGRCACAAGGAGGGACGGGGTTAAATTTTCCGCCCCACCCCGGTGCTGCCGCGCCCCCCGGCTGAGTCAGAGCGCCGGGGGTGCGCCTTCCTGTCCCCCAGCTGAGGTGCCACGTCAGGGGGAGCGGGTGTAGGCCCGAAGGACACAGCTGCCTCCTCGCCGCGTCCTCTCAGTGCTCCTCTCCTCCCTCTGATCTGCCTCATTATCTCCTGAGTCATCATCGCTCCCACCTCCGCTGCAGCCACCGCCGCCCGCAGCCGGCACCGCCGCGGAGCTGCCGAGCAGGCGACGGAAGCTGCGGGCTCCGAGTGTCACCTCTCGGGCTGCCAAGGTGTCCCGGTGRTCGGGGACGGGGAGCACCTTCCCTGCGCATCCTTCTGAGCGYTCAGATGGGCGCAGGGCAGTGGGGATGCTCCTGTCCGGCAGGGAGAGATCCCTGAGCACGGTGCTTGTCTTGCAGTGATGCTTTTGGGCTGGGAATCAGGCCCCGGAGTGCCAGGCAAGGCTGCAAGCTGCTTTCCAAGCCCTGCACGTTTCAGG